GGGGACGCCGCGCCGCCCCGAGGCCTCGCCCGCGGAGGGAGGCCCGGCCCACGCCCCGGCGCGGCCTGCTGCCTCCGTCCGCCGCGCAGCCCTCCCGCCGGCCGTTACCGCGCGGCCCCGGCCTCGGCTCCCACCTGCACAGCGGGCTCAGGCTTCCTCGGGAGGCGGTGCGGAGCGCTCAGGCTGCGGGTCGGCGGCCCTCGAAACGTCCGCCGCGTCTCAGCCCTCAGACTTTGTGCCTCGTGCTGCCGGCCGGCGCGATTTAAATTTCCCGGTGACGCCGCCTCCTGATTGGCTGGTTTGAGCCCAAGCTGTGCGCCCATTGGCAGATTTGAAAAACACGTTAGGCGGGGGTGGGGGTGGGACCCGGACGCTGGGCCTAGGGGGGAAAAAAGAGGTGGGGGTGGGGTGGCGAGGAGGGTAGCATCGCGAGATGAGGGCGCGGTGGGCAATCCCAGAGTGCTTTGCAAAAGGGTGACACCCGCGCTTGGGGGTGGGTGCCGTCTGCGCGTACCCGGCGCGCCGGGCAGTACTGTTTGTTTTCTGTGGTCCTGGCCTTAAGCAAATACACGGAATTATTATTACACTCGTTATCGTTAAAGAAACAGAGCAGAAGGTTAGCCTGGTGTGATTGGCGCAGGCTTTTAATTCAAGCACTCGGGAGGCAGAGACAGGATTGCTGTGAGTTCGAGGTGAGCCTGGTCTTCAATGGCGAGCCAGCCAGGGCTACCTAAGGAGACCCTGTCTCAAAAGAAAATAATAATAATAATTAAAAATATAATAATAGAGCTTAAAACAAATACAAATTTTTTCATGACAGCTCACAAGGTTTTTAGCAATAAATGGTCACTGGGAGAAAGTAAAGTGTGTGTGGCTCTTGATAATCATTAATTACACCACTATGTTGTTGTTTATACCGTTTTTTTTTTTTATAATTTATTTGATTTTATTTTATGTGCATTAGTGTGAAGGTGTCAGATTCCCTTGGAGTTACAGACAGTTGTGAGCTGCCATGTGGGTGCTGGGAATTGAACCCCGATCCTTTGGAAGAGCAGACAGTGCTCTTAACCACTGAGCCATCTCTCCAGCCCTTATTTGTTATTTTTCTTAAATTTTTTTTCTTTTTCGAGACACCGTTTCTCTGTGTAGCCTTGCCTGTCCTGGACTTTCTTTGTAGATAAGGCTGGCGTCAAATTTACAGAGATCCGCCTGCCTCTGCCTCCCGGAGTGCTGGGATTACAGGCGTGCGCCACTACACTTAGCATTGTTATTTTTATTATGGGGAGTGGGTTTGACGTAGGGTCTCACAATAGGGCTGAGGCTCCCCTTGAAATGGTTGCCATCCTGTCTCAGCATCAGTTCTGGGATTGCAGACATGCTCCACTTTGGTAAATTGTGTGTCAAATTTCTATAGATTACTTGGAGAATAAAAAGACAATGGAAGCAGCAAATGTGGTAACAAATGGCCTATTAATGCCTATTTGCTCCAAACACTTTTTCTTTTCAATACTGGGTTTCACTGTGTAGCCTTGGCTGTCCTGGAATTCACTCTAGACCAGGCTGACCTCACAGAGATCCCAACTACCACTACCACCAGGCTTCAAATACTTTAAAAAACTTCATTAATTAGCATTTTGCCACATTTTTCTTTATATTTAACGTATATACAAGTGTACACATGTGGGTTATCTATTATTCTTTTAGCTTTTTGATAGTTACAAAATTATCTCTTTAGCCCTAAATATTCCAGAATATATCTGCTGAGAAAAAAAAAAAAAAAGTTTCAAGCTGAGCAGTGGTATTATACCCCTTTAATCCCAGCATTTGGGAGGCAGAGGCAGGCAGAGATCTGTGAGTTCAAGGTCAGCCTGGTCTACCGAGTGATTTCCAGGACAGACAAAGCTACACAGAGAAACCCTGTTAGGGAGGGGGGAGGACATTTTTCTTACATAACCACACTGCAAACCCTCAAATTTTAAACTTCCACTTTATTAACAGTGCATATTCATTTTTTTGTGGTCTATTAGTTTCAAACATCAAAGGTGTTTATAAGCATCAGGATTTTTGTGTTCTTCCTGTAATTTTTCTGAGTCCTTTAAAGGAGTATTTTAGGAAAGTTGTAATAGTTTATTTTGTACAAAGAGATGCAAGCAGTATGCTTTGTCTATTCTTGCAGGCATTCCTGCCAGTTTTTCTCTTGTGTGTTGAGAAGTTCACAGGCAGTTGCTCCCAATCTGACCCGCTAAATGCAAGAATGTGGAAGGAATCCATTCTCTACCAATCACTGCCAGGCATTCTCTTGGCTACTGTGAATGGTTCAGGAGCAAGCACATGACCTAAATTCATCCCATTTGGGAAGCCTGTGTGCTTTGTTTAGTCATTTGAGGTTGGAACGACTTCTGAAAGGAGACTTAGTCTCAGAACTCTGAATAAGGAACTTGTAGAAAAATTTGGGGGCTCTGACCCGCAACCTGCCTGATTTCTCAAAGCTGCAGGTGTTACCTGCACCGTTAAAATGGGCTTTCTTTCCCTTGAAAACAGTGAGGGCTGTGTTCCCAGAAGTGTTTCGGTGCTAGGCATGTGTCAACTGTCAGAGAAAGAATGAAATCATAAATTCTTAAGTGATTTGTTCCAGGTTTACAGGGGCGACAAACGACAGATGGGAGTCAAGCCCACTGTACTAGCACTCGAAAAGAAACTGAAACACAAGGATAATGTCCAAAGTTGCCTTGACAACCAAGTGCGGTGGGGCAATTAGCTCCAGCAATCTAGAGACAGAGACAAGTGGATTTCTGTGAGTCCCAGGCAAGCCCAGGCTACACAGTGAGCCTCTGTGGAGGAGCCGGAGAGCTCACTCAGCTGTTCAAGCATCCCCGCTGCTCTTTCAGAGGGCCAGGGTTCAGTTCTCAGCATCTGCACTGGGTGGCTCAACAACACTGCCTGTGCCTCCAGCTCCAAGAACCGATGCCTTAGGGAACCTGCATTCGGGTGGCATAGGTGCCCCTCCCCCACGCAGACACATAAACAAAAGTAAATCTTTTCCCCCAACATAATATTTTTATTAATTATTTGGAAACTTTGTACATCATACTCGCTTCATATTCCTTCCGGGCCCACCCTCCCGGCCTCGTGCCGCCCCCCTCCAAAAAGAAACACACCAAGTCCAATTTGTGTTGCCCACATACTCACTGGAGCATGGTCAAACTCCCAGTGGCCAGCCCCATAAAGATAACGGAGTCCTTCCGCACCCTCCAGCCAGAAGCCATCAACTGTGAAGAGCTCCATTTCAGCATCTATCACAGCTCTTTTAGTTGTTGTTTTCAAGACAGGGTTTCTCTGTGTAGCCTTGGCTGTCCTGGAACTTACTCTGTAGACCAGGCTGGCCTTGAACTCAGAGATCCATCTGCCTCTGCCCCCCAAGTGCTGGGATTACAGGTGTGCTACTACCACCTGGCTCTTTAAGGACTCTTCACTAGCTTCCTATCTGAACTGTTTCTCTCTTTTTTTTTCAGGGGGGTGGAGGGGAGGACTTGTCACAGAAGCCTTAAGTCTCTCATTCTCAATTATCAGTCCTCGGTTGATACCACTACAAAAGCCACCCATGGCCACCCATAGCATTGGGTGGCAGCTTGGATCACGGACATCACCCTAGTCCCTGGTAGCAGCACAGATCACAGACATTAACACAACCTGTTGCAACACCATGGACCATGGACATCAGCATGGCCTCCAACGGCAGCACAGAGCGTGACCTGGGTTCGCTTCTTGCCTTGAATCCTAGCACTCTGGAGGCAGAGGTATGCAGATCTCTGAGTTCGAAGCCAGCCTGATTTACAGAGGGAGTTCCAGAACAGCCAGGACTACACAGAGAAACCCTGTCTCAGAAAAACCAAACCAAATAACTGATAGGGCTAGAGAGATGGTTTAGTCATACTTACTGCTCTTGCAGGAGACCTAGGTTTAGTTCCAATACCCACATGGTGGCTCACATCTTTAACTCTAGTTCCAGGGGATCAGATTCCCTCTTCTAGGATTCTTCTGGCACCAGGCATGAATGTGGTACACAGACATACATGTGGGCAAAATACACATATACATAAATAAATACATCTTTGCTGGAAGCCTGTAATCACAGCACTCTGGCAAGTTCCAGACCAACCAGGGTTATATAATGAGACCCTGTTTTATTTTGTTTAAGTCCCTAATTAAGTTGGGGTAGCTAGGTTCAGTCCTAAGCTCTGAAAAAGAAAACAGTTGCATTGAAAGATACATGATGTACAAGGAAGATATGCTTCTATCTTGCCCCGCCTCCCCATCCCCCACCCCAGTCCTGAGACAGGATCTCATTGTGTAGACCAGGCTGGCCTTGAATTCACAGAGATCTGCCTGCCTCTCTCCTGAGTGTCCCACCATTGCCAGGCACTTCTACCGCCCTTAACCAACATACTTTATGTATTTCAGTGGATTTGAGCCTTTAGTTTTTGTTTGAGACAAGGCCTCAAGCCAAGCCAAGCCTAGCCGGACCTTACACCCCTAATCCTCTGGCTTCTGTTACACATTGGGATGGGGATGGCCTCAGGGCCCTGTCTGATCTAATCCAACCTGTATGTTCCATCTGCCAGATAGAGAGATCTGTGTTGTGGCTGCTCTGTTTTGAGTATGTTAAGCAAGGGTTCAGGGCTGGCGGCTTAGTTCCCAGTGTGGCATCAATGTTCAGAGTTGGTAAAATCTTAGTGTGGGGCCTGCCTGGGGGAGGGGAACAACTACAGGAGGCTTACTTCTCGAGGGGTTGGTATACTTTATATGAGACCCTGGCTAGTTGCTGAGAGTGGGGTGTTAGGGCCAGGCTCCAACCTGAATTTTTTTTTTTTTTTGCTTGTTTAAACATGTGACCACACGCTTTGAAAAGCACTCCTGCCCTGACACCATTTGCCTTGTTAGAATGTAGCCAAGCAGGCCCTCGCCAAGACAGAACAGTTGGCAGCACTGTGTTCTTTGGACCTCCAGAACTGTTAGCCACATAAACCCCTATTTTGGTAGCAGGTATTTGTTATAGGGGCCCAAAATGGACTGAGATCATAATGAAGACACAAGAAGCCAAGAACTGTTTGCGGAGGCTTCTGGATCTGAGAAGTCCTTTTTCTCCCACCAGTCTGTGTTGCTGTCGTGATGTGAGCCTGAGAAGGAGCAGCCCCAGAGAAACAGTGAAAGGCAGATCCTGATGAATTGCTTTAAAGGGCTTAAGCCCAAGGTCA